ATAAATGTAATTATGTTTGACCCATAATGCATTGCAATATACAGTTGCAAAGTGATTGAATAAGGATATTCTGGATTCTTTACTGCCGAAATGACAGAAATTGGTAACAGACATCTCTGATCTGCTGGTTTGACAGAAAGCCACAGTCCAGGCTTCGAGGTGGGGGACGACTATGAGGTGGTTCGACCCGTCAGACTTCACGCAGTCAGGAAAAGAAGCACGGAGGTAAATCCTTTAAACACCTGTCCTCTGCAGACGAGATCTGATCATTGAAGGTGATTTGAGAATGAAAGTAAACTGAAAGGTTTTCCTCCTACAGAACCTCAGACCACAGACAGTTAAGTACGCAATGACTGTCGGAGGAAAAAACATTCAACTGCAGCTTGAGAAAAACACGTATGTTTCCACCATCCTGGAAGTATTTATCTTTCATCATCAAACCACAAATCGTTGTAAAGTTCTGGAACAATTAATTGTCCAACATTTTTCTAGTTTTTTGTTTCTCTCCTGAAATCATTATTTCACATCTTCTTAGAGACCAAAATAAAAAAGAAATCTTTTTTTCAGTTCCTTGTCCAGAATAACGACCTGACTGATCATTTTTCATCACCAGGGAGTTATTAGGCAGAGACTACACAGAAACCTCCTACCAGGAAGACGGGACTCGGGTCACCTCAAGACCACATGACGTAGTGAGTGCCAGACCACATTCAGCTCAGGGGAAATGAAATATGAAAAACTCCAAGTATCAGGAAGCTTTATTTCCTCTTCTGGGTATTTCTTTACACAGAGAGACATTTTTTAAGGCCAGTTAATGAATTATCTGTGATCCATTTGGTATTTGCACTGTATAAGGAAATAAACTTGATGGTATCGACGTATGTTTACCGCTGCTAACCTTATTCTATCTTGGTCAGGATCACTGCTACTACCAAGGAACGATTGCCAATGACCGTGAGTCATCAGCTAGCATCAGTACGTGTGACGGACTGAGGTGAGTCATCGGCAGTTCCTCAATAGGTGTACTTGTGCGTTCTAATGTGCTCGTGTATTTGAATCATCATTGCTGATCAACATACTAATCACCCTTCTTTACCCCCATATATTACACAAAACTCGTCCCGAAAAAATCTGTCACAACTGGAGAATCTGCCTGCTAAGGGCAAACATTCGTACAGCGTATGACCGGCTTTTATCCATTTATGGGAAACTCTGATTTCTGTTTAGCTCAGGTCTTCATATCTGTGGCAGATTAAAGAACCATTGCACAAGTTTAAAAGGGAATATATATTATTTTTTCCTCTCCTGACATGTCTTTTTGTCTATTTACCACGGTTGCCTCTAAAGGCGCGGGGCCCTAATAAGCCGGGCATACACTGAAGGAGTTTTTGCCCTTTTCGGGGCGATGCTTCAGTCATTTAAGATTTTTTTTCCGATCGAGCCGACTTTCAGCCTGATCGTGCATCACGTAATATACGGGGCTAACGAGGGGCGATCAGCCTCTGAAGACCACCTCCCAGAGATGAGGACTCGAGTTTGTGACTCGTACTCGAGTCGCACTTAAGTCGCATATTTAATGACTTCAGACTCGACTTAGACTCGTGATTTCTGACTTGTGAACAATATTTTATTTTTAAGTGTTTTTTGTTTTACTAACTTGACTGATCGCCGCTCGCCTTACCCGCACACAGCAGAGGTAAAAAAAATAAAAAAACGGCAGAGGGGCTGTCAAACTGTCACGTAGCACTGACGTCACTGACGCGACGCTACGTGACATATATGCCCGCGCGCCCGTGCGCATGCATGCATGATCGACAAGCCAAGCTTTAAAAACTTCATGGCCGTCGTAGACGAGAAATATGTTGTGAAAAATGTGAATTGGCACTAAATAAATAAACTGAATTAAATTTAAAATACTGCCGCCAAGTCGGTTCTGTCTGTTCCAGGGCATTAAGTTACAAAAAATTTTCCCACAATGTTTCTTTTATGAAAGAATTCTTATTGTCCTGGTATTTATTTAGGGTTTTTCTTTATCTGTTGTAGTTGCTAACTTCATAAGTATTAATAAAAAGCAGGATTGTGATTGTTTTTTTTTTTCCACAGCCCTTATTTTCACTTAAAAATAAAAGAGAAGACATTTAATCCTAAAACTAGAAAAAGTTGTAACCACAAATGTCAGGTAAATACTGTAAGAAAATAGTTGTTTTTGAAAGAAAAAAATAAAGATGCAAAAGTTTAACTGGAAAAAAAATTGCGTGTGTGCTTTTTTAAATTGTATTTTTCATTTAGCAGTTCAAGATAATGATCATTCCATAGATATAATAGTGACCTTTAAGCTATACCGTCTCAGTGACGGAGATGAAAACACAAGGAGAAACATGCAAGCACGCAAATTATTGCACTTATTTTAATTAATCGAGTGATTAGAATTTATGGTGCGATTAATTGATAATTGTGACAGGCCTTCTCAAGACTTGAGACTTGACTTGGACTTGCAAAAAATGACTTGTGAACATGTCTGCCACCTCCCAATCAGGAATCTTGAGGTCAGGAGAAAATCAAATATGTTTGAAATTGAGTCGGTCCTTATAAGGTGTCCTTGGCTAAATCCTGCTGTTGAAGCAGAGCTGATTTAATGACATAAGCCGATTTACCAGAACCTCGCGCACTGTGCTTGTGCAAACTAAGGAGTTCCTCTTCCTGGATGACGAGTCCAAACAGTGACATCTCTCGGCGCTGAGCCCGACTTCTGGTTTTTGGATGTAACGTGTGAGCAGGTAGTTTGCAACAGAGCGTCAGGCCCTATAGTATAAGAACATACATCGTGAGCGTTATACTTTTAAACCCTGCGGTTTCCTCATACAGTTGAATTTGTAGCTTAGTGCAACGATTGAAAATATCGTACAGTGTTTGCCCAGCCTTAGGAAGTTCAGGGATTCGGGTTGGATTCTCTGGATGTGGGTGCGATGCGCTCTTCCGCCTTAAGCTGGGCATACACTGCGTAATCTTTTCAATTGTTGCACGCAGCTACAGCTCAAACTGTACAACGAAGTGCTGGAGGTTCTGGTAAATCGGCACGTAGCTCTGCTTCAACAGCAGGATTTGCCCACGACCACCTTAAGACGGCCGATTGGATTTCAAACATGTTTGATTTTCTCCCAACCTTAAGATTTCTGATCGGAAGGTGGTCCTGAGAGGCTGATCACCCCTTGTTACCTCCCTGCATACTACATGACGCGCGATGAGGCTTAAACTCGCCCCTAACGGAAAAATTGTCGCACTACTGGATAATCGACCTGAAAAGGGCAGAAATACCTGCCTGCTTTATTGAGTCTCTGGTGTCATTGACACGTTAACAAAGAACCTCAATATTTATCAGTCTCTTACTCCAGAAGATAATGGAGGAAAGGCCTGTGCAGTCACTGCAGCAGACTGTGGCGTTTTCTCTCTTCTAGCCCTGGTGTAATTTCAACTCGTCACCAGAGGGGGCGAACTTCTGCAAAAACTCTGGAACTGTCACTCTGCTCCTTTAAGATTGTTCTCATTCTTAAAAGATGTTTGGAAAGTAGGAGTATCTCTTTATTCTGGTTTATTTGCGTTTTGTTTCTAAATGTCAAAGTTTGTTTACATCTTTCTCAGTAGTTTTAAAATGTATTTTTCGAATCACAGGTTTTTGCTTGTTTCAGTATTTTGATCTCAGAATCCTTGAATGGAAGGGCTCCCTGCCATCACCATAATCTTTGGCTTCACTCACAGATTTATGTCAGAATTTAGAAGTGCTCACTAGAGACTTCATGTTACAGACAGTTGATTAAAAGATTTAATTTAAATATTACATACATTTAAATATCAAATAATTTTAGGCTAAACTGTAAAAATCACAAACCAGAAAAATATTGTATTAGATGATAGGTTAAGGTTGTAAATCAATCAATAAGCTTATAATAAGGTCACATGACGGTTTTGGACGAAGATTCCTAGAGCATGTATATATATATATATATATATATAAACAGGATTATTATGCAGGGTTATTGCACAAGGTATTTTCATGAGTAGTTATATAGATGGCTATTTATCTATATAGCTATTGCACTAGATGCCTACTAATTAAAGATTTATCAAGGTAAAAGTAAAGATAATGTTTTTAAAACATTGATCTGATTCTTGAAGTTATTTTTAAATCTTAGGAACTAATTAATTTGATGACAAAATGTAGAGATATTTCTTCCAGAAAAGATGCTAAATGATGTACTTAGAAAACCTCCACTCCCCTCAGGATGCTGGATGCTTGAAGATCAGCTCTGACCAGTCTGCTCTCTCTCTGATTCAGGGGTTACTTCAGGACATCTGCTCAGAGGTACCTGATTGAGCCTCTGTCCGGTGGCGATGAGGGCGACCATGCTGTGACCGCCGTAAATGAGACGAGCTCTAAGCCGGCGCTGTGTGGCGTTACCAACGACTCCTGGAGCGACGACGTGGAGCCTCCAACCGGCAGGAGCCGGTCCAGATCTGGGGTTGGTAGATGTTGACTCCACGGTGTGAAGATGCTCTGATGCTCTGTGAGGAAACTAAAGTCTGTTTAAATTCATTCCAGGGTGTTTCTGTCCTTCGGCAGCAGAAATACATCGAGCTCGCTCTCGTAGCAGATAATCGAGCGGTAAGAACTTCACTAGGTTAATAAAATCATTCTTTGCATAATAAACCCTGTAATCCCTGTTAATGATATAAAATAAAGTAATTCCATCCTTTTTTCAGATAAAGTGGTGGAAATACATCAAATAAAATGCATTTTTTCCATCATTAACAAACCAAACCCATAACATTAAATTATTACCAGAGGTGTCAAGTAACAAAGTACAAATACTTTGTTACTTTACTTAAGTAGAAAAGTTGACTTTCTATACTTTACTGGAGTAATTATTTTTAACATTTTACTTCTACTCCTTATATTTTAAAAATAGTCTCGTTAGTTTTTCCAAAAAAGTTAAAAAACATCCACTGGACTTTGATTCCAAGTTTGAAGCCGTTTCTCTTCCATCCAGGAAGC